AGATATTTTCTATAATAGGAAACTTATCTAGAAGTCTGAACTGTAGATTAGGACAGATTGGAAAGATACTTAGAAAAATAATTGGTAGGACCTGGCAGCTACTTGAATAGGGGTCTTTAGCAATATTTAAGGAAAAAATAATCTACTCCTTGTGCTCCTTGGTAACATAGACATGATTTCACTATGGAGAAGCATTTCTAAAATATTGATGTATGTAGATCAATTTTAATGGATTGCTTGCTAGCTATTTGAAGGAATCACCTGAAGAAATCACACTGCAATAAAAGTTGGGCTAGCCAGAGTCAGTATTTGTATAAATCCAACTTTGGAAGGAATATTTGGAACACTACATGTTAATTAAAGAGCCATTTATTAATGCATTCAAATGTATTTACTTATCACCTAATTTATCAAAAAATAAAAAAAATTCAACATTGGTATAATAGGACATAACTATAGAAAAAGAATTGGTAAATGATGCCTGTGGGTCATAGGAAGTGCCCACCCTTCTTCACCTGTTTTTGTAACTAAACCTTATTGAATAAAGTTTTATTGGAACACAGCTCGGCTCTTTCACTTATTGTCTATGGCTGCCTTCATGCTACAATACAGAGTTGAGCAGTTACAACAGCCCCCCAAACGAAAAGGGTTTAATATCTATCTAGTCATATATATGAAGAGTTTGTGCATCGCTGAAATAGAATATGGGATATTCTTACCTGAAGAGAGTTGAAAACAGGAAAATCAAAGAGGGAAATGCATCACTTATTTGGAACACAGATGGGCTATAGGCCCATTTCTTCTGGTCTCTTGGGAGAAATAGAAGAAACACTTAAAATTCCTCGGTAGAACATTTATCTGTTCAGTCCACTGGCTGGTATGAGATGGGAAGTAGTTCATGCACATGAGGCCAAGAGCAGCAAGGAAGAATATGGGGGTGGCCCAGTGAAAGGGTCGCTGGAACCTGTAGGCATAAACATCCATCCGGGTACCCCAAGGAGCAGCCACAGGAGGGCAGCAAAGTCACATGACATTAAAAATATCTGCTTGCGAGCTACAGTCCTAAGCGGTGTGTAGACTGAAAACACCATTTTGCAGTTAGTGTGATGGGGGCCAAACTCCAGTGGAAATTTCCTTAGCATAAATAACTGCCCAAGATCCAAATTAAGAAATATTCAGAAATAAAATCTGTTATGGGGAGAAGCCAAATATGCGAAAAGAAGAGAGAGAGCTCTGAGGAGGGTGAGACGTGTCAGTACAGGACAGTGAGACTTGTCACTTTGTAGAACAACATCGATACACATCCATTTAAATAACCAATGTTCGAATTTTGATTCCTTCACAGGAAAACAGGATGAACTTATCACAGAACATAGCCCTTCCATGAGAAATATAAATAGTATCTATTTTGAGTTTTTTAAATAATGAGCATTGAGAAATAGCATTTTATTCTCTATTTATGTATTTTTCCTTCCAACATTTACTTTTTTCTGTAGCATACTTGTGCCGACTATTGCAGTAGAGAGGGGGGGATACAGCCTAAGAGTGAAATCAGATTGATGGAGTAATTTTATAATTCGAAAATTATACCCACTCCGAAAATAATAGACATCTCTGAAAAAAACCAGAGTTTAAGATTTTAGTTTTGTTTTCCCTTCCATTTCCTTGCCTTAATTTTGGCCATATATGAAGCCACTTCGCAATTTTGAATTGCAGGCAAATGACTTCAAAATCTGGTTTGGTGAATAGAAGTTCTTGATTTTAATGTAAACAAATTTAACCCATTTCTTCTCTTAGGATTGTAACTCTAAGAAATTTTTTAAATTGGTTTTAAAATAAATTTGTATTAAGTGTTCCACTAAAACTGTGACTCCATCAGAATACTATTACCTTTTTTATAGCTTAACAAGTCATTTCCTGGCTGTGGCTTGGCCACCATCTACCCTCCCCTAATTAACTCTTGTCAGTGGTATGTGTTTCTTGTTTGTATGTGGTGCATCTATAATAAATGTTTACTGAAACAACTATTTTTTATATCCAGATGTTTGTAGTGAAAAGTTAATAATTATTTGTATCTTCTTGATAGGGGTCCATGTTAACAAGGGTCAGGTTTAAAATTTCAATTTTAACTGAGGAGAAATGATCACTAGCTAATTATAACATTTAAAAGTGTGAACATTTTTTCTTGGATTATTCTAACACCTAAAAACTTAGATTTTGGGAGCTAGAACAATTTTAGTAAAAATAATTGGCAAAATCATGGGTATATGTGTGAGAGAGAGAGAAAATCTCAGCTTTGGGATGACCATAAAAAGATGTATACATGTATTTGTATTAATGTAGCTTATTCTTTACCATAATCCACGTAATCTCTAGAAAAAGGTTTTTGAGGAAATAACACCGATGAATGCTAAATACAACTCCTTCTTTTCCTGCTTCACTTTAACTTCCCCAGTGTAGCATGGCTTCCTCATTTTGAATCTTCTGAGATTTGTTTACAGGATGTTTGGCAGCCTGACAAGGGTGAAGGACCCTCAGTTTAGGCATGATTTCCCACCACCCCACGGCACATAGATCAAAAACAACATGTGAGGTTAAACTGGGGTATTTGCATTCCCCCAACTGAGTCACAGGTTAAAGCATCCCTAAGCCTTAACAAGCAGACAGAAACCTCAATAAACAAGTATGAGAGCTGGGATTTCAGTCAGACAGCCCCAGGCTTCAAAGACACAGGTTCACAACAGAGAAAACATTATTGAGTGATCACTACAAAAGTCAGTTATCAACATGTAGCACCATGTGTAATTTTCCTGATTCACTGAAATCTTGATGTTTTCCCAAATTCATTCCTCTGTGAAAGACACATATTAGACTTACACTTTCTCTGATTAAAAATGAAAGTCAAAGCAATGAAAAGAGAGTAGAGAGAGAATTTTTCAGAACATGTGCAAGCTTTGCACGTAGATCACCTTCTAAATATTTCTTGAGCCCCTTCAAAAGAGAATATGATTTAGAATAAAAGTTAAGGCTCTTGCTTTTGAGAAGCTTACACTTTAAATAAAAGAGTGGCATTTCATTGCATGGTGATAGGTGGCATTTGGACTTTAAAAATGTCCTGGGGCTCTAGATCAGAAAAATATATAGCCATTAAGAAAAAGGAGAGGATTCTATTTTTTTTAATAGCTGGTCAACATATAATATATGATATGCACTGCTGATAACCATACAGTGTCTATGTTTCTACATAACTGGAGGAATAAAACTACACCACCAAAAACTGGAACATAAAAAGGACCTTATTTAAGAAGTTAATTAGGCCCTTAGTTCAAAATCTGTAGCCAGTCATCCATGTTGCTAAGGGAATGATTAATAGGAAACATATCGTTCTTAAAGATAAATTTTAGTAGCATTTAGTTAAACTGAAAAGAAAACTGATGGTATTTTGATTGGGATTAAATTGCAATTATTTTATAATATAAAGACATTTGATACATTTGCAATATTGTCTTCCTAGTGGAGGGCAAATGTTTCTTCTCATTTATTTATGTCTTCTTTTATGGTCCTTAGAAGAAGTGTAAAGTGTTCATAATATATATATATGTGTGTGTGTGTGTGTGTGTGTGTGTGTGTGTGTATAAAACATTGATATCACATATTCTAATATATATGTTTATTCCAAATTAGAATATTTATTTTTATTATTGTTATTTTCTACTTCTTCCATTATACTTTCTATTTGGTTATTTTTGTGAAGTTTGTAAAAAATACATTTGAGAATAACTGAGATACTTCTGAATAAATAATAGTATGAAGATTGAGTAACCTAAATATACAATAATATGTTTCATACAACAATGAGAAGAATCTGGTAGTGGGGCTAAAGAATACACAAACCAAAAGAACAGAATAGAAAGTCCAGAAATGTATCTAATTGCATATGGGACTTTAGTAGTTCATGCAACTACCATCAGCATGGAGGAAATGTATTCATCCAGAAATATTCAGAAATGTATTTATCCAGAAATGTATTTATCCAGAGTCCAGAAATAGATCCAATTGCATATGGAACTTTAGTAGCTCATGAAATTACCGTGAGCATCAGGAAATATATTTCTCCATAAAAACAAGCCCCTTCTAAGCATGACACATGAGATAAAAAGGAAAAGATAAGTAAAGCCAAGCATGTAAAATTTAGAAATGTTTGATGTTAAATATCACAAATAAGATAAAATCACAAACAACAAACTGAAAAAAATTATGGATGGATGGAAGATTAATTTAGTCAGTATACAAAAAAGATCAGCAGTGTAAAAAGAAAAGAAAATTCAAATACAAAACTGGGCAAATAATTACAGGCACTCCTCAGGGGGGGGGAAATGGCTAACTTAAGGGAAGAATGCCCATCTTGCTTATTTTGAACAAATGTAAAATACAATAAAATTATTTGGCATTTTCTCCCATAATAATGTCACTGTTGAACAGTATTTCTTATCCTCATTTTTAATGAATGTATGGAGGGAAAAGCACTTTACTTCTGTAGAGTACTCACTGAGGTAAAATTTGGACAATACTTGGAAATATCTATTAAAATTATAAATCTGCATTCACTTTAACACAGAAATTCCAATTATCCTACAGATACATTAGTACAAGTGTTACATGAGTTATATATAAATATATTTATTGCAGTACTATCTGAAAAATCTAGTAAAAAAGATTCTTTTGTACATTATAGGAAGCCAGCTAAATAAATGATGATAGAAAAGTACATTTTCATTAAAGCATGAAGTGTATACATGAATTGAGTTAGGGTGTAATCCAGGATACACTGACAAGTGAATAAAACGAGTTGCCGTGTAGTAGGTGTGATGTGATTCTATTTGTATTTAATATACACATCTGTGTAGTTGCCAAGGTCCAGGGTTGAGGTGGAGCTTGTGATTACACAGGGAAAGCATGAGGGAGTTTTCTGGAGTGATTAAATTGTTCTTTATGTTAACTGCTAATGTATCCTGATTAACTTTATCTTGATTACACAAATCTATAGATGTGGTAAAACTCAGACTTCAGAGTTATATCAGAAAAATGACAGGCAAGGAAGCTGTAAACACTTGTTGCTCTTTGAAAACACTAATTAAACACCTAGAAATGAATTAAAATATCTTTATAGGAGCTCTGGAAATCAGTCAAAGATCCATAGCAACCAAGTAAATGTCCAGTGAAGAAAAAGCCACCTTCAAAATGGTAGGGAATTCCATGGTGTTTTTCTTCACCCTTGCTCCTTTCTGTCCTGGGCATGGCATGGCACGGTGTGGAAGGAGAAGCAACCTCATCTGCAGTTCCTTCTACAAATCAGAGAAAGCAGAGTAGACAGAATTCACAGTGTTTACGATCTGCAGGCTGCCTGAGGGATTGATGTCTGCATTACCGAAATGTGAAGCTCAGATGGCCAAAGGTGGCTTGGATCTCAGGCTAGAAAACGATGTTAGAAGTAGTAGGCATGGTTCATGGAAACTAGAAGGGGATTACAGACCTACCAACGCCTGGAAACCAGATATTATATGCAGAGGAATTCAACAGACAGCTAAGTCTCCAAGAAGTAAAAGTGAGATTCTTAGGGAAATCAAAATACTAAAAAGTAGGCATGGAAATTAAGTGGGGGTGGGGAAGCACAACATACAAGCCCAAAGAAGACATACCCAGAAAAGGCCTCAGAAGACCTTCAAGATTTCATACAGGGCTGATTAGTGAAGGTCTTCCCTGCACAGAGGCATGCTGCAAAGACTGAATGGAGTGACTGCTTTTTCAAATGCTCAGTTTTCAACAAAAGATCACAAGGCACATAAGGAAACAGGAAAATACGACCTGTTCAAAGAGTCAAAATAAATCTCCAGAAACTGACTCTGAATAAACACAGCCTTCAGACTTATTAGGCAAAGACTTTGAAATATCTCAAATATGTTCAAAAATCTAAAAGTCAACATGGACAAAGAACTAAAGTAAATCAGGAAAATAATATATGAAGAAAATGAAAATACCTTCAAAGAGATAGAAATTATTTAAAAGAACTAAACAGAAATCCTGAAGCTGAAAAACATAATGCCTACATTAAAAAATTGACTAAAGAAATTCAACAACAGACCCAAATGGGCACGAAAAGGAATTAGCAAACTTAAATTTGAAATTATCAAGTCTAAGAAACAAAAAGATATAAGAATGAATAAAAGTAAACAGAGCTTAAAGGACTTATGGGACATCATCAAACAAATCAGTGTATAATTATGGGAGTTTCAGTAGGAGGAGAGAGAGAGAAAGAGGCAGAGAGTTTATCTGAAGAAATAATGGCTGAAAATTTTCCAAGTTTGATGAATCATGGGAGTCAGTACAAACATAATAAATTCAACTCATTCCCAGAAGTCCAAAGAAGCCTATACTGAGACCCCAGATAATTAAATGGTTAAAAGCCAAGACTAAGGGAGAGTCTTCAAAACATCAAGAGAAATGCAACTTGTCACATACAAGAGACCCTCAAGATTTACAGTGGATTTCTCAGCAGAAATTTTGTAAGCCAGAAAGCAATGGAATAATACATTTAAAGTGCTGAAAGAAAATAAAATAAAACTTCAACAGAGAAATCTGCATTTAGAAAAACTGTCCTTCCAAAATGAAAGAGAAATTAACAGAATCCTAGATAAACAAAAACCAAAGGAGTTCGTTGCCCCTAGTCTGACCCTACAAGAAATGCTAATGGGAGTCCTGCAAGTTGACATGAAAGGATCCTTGACAGTAACTCAAAGCTCTATGTAAATATAAAGATAAATACATAGACAAGTATAAAAAGATAATATCATAATATTGGTTTAATCTCCACTTTTTATTCCTTCATAGGGTTTAAAAGATAAAAGCATAAAAGTATATCTATGTTAATGGACATAATAAATACAGAGATGTAACTTGTGACAGCAATAATACAAATAACATAAAGTTGGGTGGATTGAATCTATAAAGGAGTACATTTTTGTATGTGATTGAAGGTAGGTTGTTAGTTTTAAATAGATTGATGTTTTATGTAATCCTTCAGGTAACACAGAGAAAATATAGACTATATACAAAAGGAAATGAGAAGAGAATCAAAATGTGTCACTAAGAAAAGTCAACTCAACATATAAGAAGGAAGCAAGGGAGGAAATGTAGGGCAAATAAACTATAAGACATAGAAAAAGCAAACACTAAATTAGCAATAGCAAGCCCGTCTCTATCAATAATTACTTTAAATAATTACTTTAAATTGCCCAATCAAAAGATATAGGTTGACAGAACGGTATAAGAAGACAGGATCCAACAACATGCTCTTGACAGGAGACTCCCTTTAGATTTAAAGATACACAGAGTTGAAAGTGAAAGAATGGAAAAAGATATTCCCAACAAACAGTAACCAAAGGGCAGTAAGGGTGTCAATACTGATATCAGACAAAATAGACTTTACATTTCAAACTGTTACATGAAACAAAGAAGTTACATAATAAGAAAAGGATCAATTCACCAAGAAAATATAACAATTCTAAACATATATGAACCAACTATCAGAGTTCCTAAATTTATGAAGCAGTTACAGAATTGAAGGGAAAAACAGATAGCTCCAAAATAATGGGAGGAGACCTAATATCCCACTTGCAATAATGGACAGTACAACCAGACGGAAGGTCAGGAGGAAAATAGATGGCTTGAACAATATTGTCAACCAGTTGGACTTAACAAGTATATACTGAGCACTTCATGCAACATCAGCAAAATACACCTGCTTCTCAAGTGCATAAGGCAAGGATATGAATAAGTTGGTACCTGCGTGCTCTGTTAGTGGGAAGTCAAACGGTACACCACTGTGGAAAACGTTATGGTGGTGTCTCAAAAAATTAAAAATAGAATTATCATATCATCTAACAACTCCACTTCTGGATATATACCCCCAAAAATGGAAAATTCAAGAGAACTGAAGAGAGGAATTCAAAGAGCTATTTGTACACCTATATTCATAGCAACATTACCAACAATAGTAAAAAAGTAGGACCATTCCAAGTGTCCATCAGCATAAAGATGAATAAACAAAATGTGATACATACATATAATGGAACAGTATTCAGACAATGGAAAGAAAATTTTGGTACATTCTTTAACATGGATGAACCTTGGAGTCATCATGTGTGGTGATATAAGCCAGGCACAAAAGGACAAATAGATGATTCCATGTATATGAAGTCTATGAAATAGTCAAATCATAGAGACAGAAAATAGAATGGTGATTATGGGGGTGGGAGATGGAGGGGGGAATTGGGGAGTTAGTGTTTAATGGGATATGGAGTTTTAGTTTCATGGAACAAGAAGAAAAATTTTCTGGGGATGGATGGTTGTGTATTAATGCCACAGAACTATACACTCACATTATTACCCTTAAAATGGTTAAAATAGTTTGATATCATATATATTTTACTACAACAAGTAAAGCAAAAAGAAAATCATAGATGCATACAGCAAAAGAAAAAAATAATTTTACTGTATAATCCAAAAAAATTAGTAGTTGTGTCTTTGCATTAGAATGGGGATAGGGTATTTTATTTCAGAATTTAAAAAAATATTTACAAGAAAAAAAAGGAAAAAAAAAGCAAGGAAAACAAACAAACAAAATACTTATTAAAACATTCTTCCCTCACTCAAAGAAAAAAAAAACTATGTGTCTTATTCTTATTTGCATTGGACTCAAAAACAGCTCACCATGAACTCTATTACCAGAGGTTGTCTTATGAATGATTCTTTTCCTTGCACTTAGGAAAATACTTTTCTTCCTTATAAGTTTAGAATGGAAATGATGTTGACCTTGGCAGATGTACGAGATGTATGTGATCAGGATGTATGTGTGCATGCACACTCGTATCCATCTATGGAAGCCAAGAGTTACCGACTAGAATTTGAAATATTAAAGAAGTATTCTGCTGCAGACCTTAGGGAGACCACTTCAGAAAGGACAAGACTTAAATCCTGCCAGCATCTTTAGCCCTTCTCCATGCCACTGAATTCGAACCACAGTATGTTCTGTGGGAGAACCTGAGGCAATGTTCTGGACTTGCATAAAAGTTTAGGTGGGAAGAAGATAATGTATCTTGGGATGAGACTATATTCTGCTAGACGGGATTTTGTGAAAAGCATGTTGAGATTTGCATTGCAGAATACGTAAGAGAAGCGCCCAGGACAATCTGTTTAGGGATGTATGGCTAACGAAACTTGATAAAGTACAGCAAGTTGAATTTAGGTGCACAGTGTATGTTGGAGATAGAAGAAACATTTGGCTTTTAGAAATATCGTTTGAAAGTATTGGTGATTTTCTTGTGCATGGGTGAATCAGCCATTGACAGTGGGGCCAATTTTGATGAGAAACAAAACTGCATCCAGTTAAAAGAAGGGACTCATGACAGTCTGGGATAACAGGACATGCATTCTCTGCTAGGCTTTTGCTATTTCACCTGCTAGACTATTGAATCCCTACTTCCCACTCTCCTTACCAGACCACACTGACCCATTTCCTTGGGGAAATAGAGATTGCCCAGACAAACCTTCTGCCGTGGTCCCCATCGATAAAGGGCCCCATACTACTGTATTCCTCTGGCCACCATGTCATGTTATATGTGGTCATGTTCCTTAATTTAACAAACATGAAGGCTGCTTATATGTGCTAGGGAGGGTTGTAAGCATCTTACAAATATTAACTACTTTACTATATTAAAATAGCAGAAAATGGAATCCACCCAGACAGTGTGGGAGACTCTAATGAAAAGACTTCTTACTAAGTTATGGACATGGTTGAAGGGACAAACCAGGGATATGAGGTACCTACAGACCAGCAAGAACTGGTAGCCTTTGTCACTTCCAGGCCTGAAGAGGCAGGAAGGGAATAGTGTTAGCAGTGCACAGTGAGACCTGGGACTGTGTGTATGGCCCCCTTCTTCGGAATCTGTATTACTACAGAGTCACAGACAGAGCGGGGGCATGGCCCATAGCAGGAGCAGGCAGGGAAGAAATATCATCCTCTGTCTCCTCTCACCCTCCAGTCTTCTTCCAAGGCCTCCTATTGGTCAAGTCCAATGCGAAGTCACTTGCCAAGTAGCCAGGGAGCTGCAGTCCATTGGGGTGAGCTTCCCTGGGCACAAACACCGGCAGAAAATGCATCTGAGATGGATAACAGGAAAATAACCATCACATATGTCAAATCAGAGGAAATAAGCAGAGAACAAACAGCAAAATAATAAAGTCAGTATTAATATTTTTATTCTCTCCCTACTTTAGAAACCACCCACTTCCTCCTGGACTTTGGTCCAAACAACTGAAGTCATAAATGGTCTTTAAATATCTAGGTTCTAGCTGCGGGGATTCAGCAGAGCCTCCTAACACTGGAACAACGAGCCCAGGCTGCCAGTTGATTGGGCAAAGACTTTACATTCTACACTTCTCTATGACAGATAATTCTAGGGTTAACCTCCCACTGTTCCTCACACCAGTCTGCCTGTGATACTGACACTTCAGAAACACAGGGCCGGCTGTTTATTTTTTGGTGAAGAGCTCATACTATCAATTTGCACATTAGTGAGACAGCTACTGCTCTCTTCTATCGGCATGTATTGAGTGGCGGCTTGAGAGATATCCACTGCTCAGGAAAAAAAAAAAAAAACTTAGCTGTCTGATGAAATGTTTTAAATGCATAGGGTTCACCTTGGGGTTGGCTGCTGTTCTGATTTTATCCATTAAGAACACACAGGGCTGCCTCTGTACTCCCCAGGGCTGATAGGAAAAATAGTACTACTTACAGGCCCTTGTTTTGCCTGAAGGAGGATATTCCAAATGCGAGCTGTGGGTTCCTGTACACACACACACGTACGTATGTGTACACACCTAGTTCACATGCCTGCAGTGCTTTAAATGGCACTTAAAGGGATTTTTCCATCATGAAATGTTTTCTTCTGATAGAACAATTTTTAAAAAAGGAGATGATGTGTGTGTCCGTATGGTTGCCCCAGCCAATGTTTTATCCTGATACACGTATCAGTGCTAGCATCTTCGCTCATTTCAGGTTATTTGATACCATGTTTAGGAATGGCAGGGCAAGGGCGATCTGAAACTGTGATACTTTTTTAGTTTTTGCCCTTCTAGACCCTAAGTGCTGTTCGATAGTATTTATGTACATAAAAAGATGTTTAAGTAAGAGCCAGTAACTGATCTGGTTTCTGCCATAGATCAGTCTTCAGATTCAGCCTATGAAGAATTTGGCCTCATTTTGCTAAGAAAGGATTCCGTGCACAATTTCTGAACTTTGATGGTAGAGTTATCTGAATTGTATTGTTTTCTGTGTTCCAGTGTAAACCAAATAGCTATTTGCAATGGAGGAGACTTATCTCAGTGTTATTTAAAATGATGAGTTTTTAATGTATGAAAGCATGTAAAGGATGGGGAATACGTATGTGAAGGTGAGAAATGATCACTGAATTACTTCCTAAAGAAGTTTGTTATGCAATTGCATTCAAAGATAGAAAGAGATGATTTTAACACTTGGCCAGTGAGAAATGATTTACTAATTTGTCTTCATCTCCAAAACTAAATGCTTCAAGTTGATGAAAAACTTTGCAATGAAGTCAGTCAAATCCTGGATATTTATTTAAACTACTCTATTAGCTCTAAGGGTGCTCAGGGCTAAAGTTAAGCAAAGAGGTGCCCCCATCTCCATTCTTGGAAAAGGAATTGATTACCTCAGTCTCAGGGAAGATGTATCAAACACTAAAGCAATTGTTAACCTTGGATTATTTGTGTTGGATTAGGTATTTTATTTCATATTATCTACTCTTAAAGATTAGACTCAAGCTGAATTGCATCCCCCAACCTTTTTTTTTTTTTCCCAAGGAGAATTCCCTGCATGCATTAAAGAGAGTTGAGTCTTCAGCCAAAATTGCTGTTGAGTCAAGGCTTAATAATACTTATTCACTAATTAACTAAACCCTGTAAAGATGCTGAAAGATCATGATGCCTTAGAAATGTTTCTACACATATGGCATGTTTATTTTTAGATGTTTTTTGTATTTTTTTTTTCTCACAAGTTGCCACAGAAATGACATTGAATTCTTGGCATTGACATTAACTGCATGACCTTGGGCAAAACACTTAGTCTTTTTAGGTATCAGGTTTTTTAATATGTACAGTAGAGATAATAAACACTTCACAGTGGTTACAGAAGGATCAAGACAGCTAAAATGTATTTATTCTTTTTTAAAAGCTTTTGGTAAAACGTCGTAGAATAATATGTTTATGGTGTGAAAGAAAATGATCACACTAAGAGGAAATAGACTGAGGGCCAAATTTTATTTCTCTAGCCAGTCCTCTTCCTATTTAATTATTAATTTCTACCACCCTGAAAGGTCACTAAAAGTATAGCTGCACAAAATTATTATTAGATTCATAATATAAAGACAGGAAAAAATGGCAAAATGGTGAGAATTCAACTTAAACCAAAGAAAGGCAGAATTATGGGTAGCCGAAGACAATGCGGTCATCCAGCTCTGACTTCCAAAACAGGACCAAACAGCAGAAAAAATATAGGATCCACTTAGAAATTACACTCTCAGCATAAGAAAGACAATACTTAACCTTCAGAATCGCTGTGGTTACAGAAAAATGAACAAGTCCCCAGTTTAAGATCTTTCATGCTCCGAGTATAGCACCATCCCTGTGTAAGATCCCCAAGATAAGGTCTCACAGTTTTTCAGGGTGTTGAGGACAACTGTGGAGGCACAGAAAATGAGAGCTAGAGAAGAGGATTGAGCTTTTTCTTAAACTAAACCCCCCAAAAACAAGTCTGTGCTAAGAATAAAAATCATCCTGGTTGCTATAAGGAAGGATGATGGAGGAATGGGTGAAGAAGAAGGGTATAATGAGGGGAAAACTTCCAGGTATTAAATAAATAAGTCACAGGGATGAAAAGTACAGCATAGGGAATATAGACAATAATATTGCAATAGCTTTGTATGGTGACAGTTTGTAACTATTTACCATGGTGAGCATTTCTTAATGTATATAATTGTCATGTCACTATGTTGTACACCTGAAGCCAACATAATATTGTATGTCAACTATACTTCAATTAAAAAAAGCATCCAAGTGGATCTAAGCATGGACCGTAGGGGAGGGTTTTCAATGTACGCGTAAATTAAAGCGGCAGGCCCAATTTAACAAAGCAGGCTTAATTTAAAGGAACAGGTGCGATTTTAAATGACAGGTGTGATTTAAAGGGACAGTCTATGAAATGCAGATTATAGGATAAAAGACAAAAAGAAGAGAGAAGCACTATTTGGCAATAGGTAATGAAGAATAATAAAAGAAGTGAGGGAGGGAGGGAGGAATTCAGGTTCTGAAAGTCAGAAAAAACTTGAATTGAGAGGTTTACATCTCCCCTCCCTCTTACACAAATTAGCAAACAAAGAGACTGGCCAAAATATCTGGACTTACCTATGTTGATAGATGAGGATTCCATTAAACAAGGAGTCGCTGAAAACACCTCAATACCATAGAATTAAACAAACAGAAAGTCAAATCCACACAGAGTTATGATTACAGAAAATTGGGAAACAAACTCTCATGCATATTAAATAAGGAGCAGTCCCTCTGGGGTAGCCTATGGAACAGAAGAAGCCACAGAAGAGATGTTAATATTTCAAAAAGAATTAAATATCCCCAAACAAGTAATAAATGTATGAAAACCCAACTTGATTCAGCAGTTTTAAAAGTGAAAACAGAAATGTACAAAAACTGGAAGTAATGAAAAGAAAGTTGATTTAATTCCGGAAAGAAATAGAACAGAAATATGACATTGTCTCACAAATGAATAATACATTACAAGGTGCCCAAGGAAGAATAGGCTCAAATGATAATTTAACAAGGATCATGGAAGAAAGACAGGAAAAGCAACCGAACAGAGGAAAATTCACAATATGAAACATGTTCATTAGAAAAATGAAATAGTGAAGATGGATGAATTAAATTCTCAGCTCAAAAATTAACATCTTCATATGAAAAATGAAATAGTGAAAATAAATGAATTAAATTCTCATCTCAAAATTAGAACAACAAAGTAAAAAAATACAGAAGGAAATAAATAAATAAACATAAAGCAGAAATTGATGAGATAAAGAATAGAAGAAAACATTAGATACAATTAATAAAACTAAATTTTGGTTTTTAGAAAAATTGACAAATAGACAAACCACTACCTAAATTCATAATGAAAAAGGGATAGCAATTGTAATAAAGAATAGCAATGGGAAAATAACCACTGGAACAGATGCAATTTAAAATAAGAGACAACCTTGCACATTTCTATGCAAATAAGTATGAAAACCTAGATAAAAAATAATAATTGCCTAAGGAAATACATGAAATTAGCCCATCACAAATAGAAAACTTAAAAAAACCAATTCTATTGAAGGAGAAGAAAATGCTATTAGGAAAATGTGTTTCAAAAGGCACCAGACCCAGATAGTTTCATAGGGGATTTTTACTCTATCTTCAAAGACCAGACAGTAGTTCTAGAAATTACTTCAGAACATTGAAAAGGAGGAAAGACTTCCTAATTTCTTTTTTAAAGCAAGTATAATACTGAAATCTAAGCCTCATAAATGTAGTACAAAAAAGAAAACCAATATCAATATTTCCATGTATATCAAAGCAAAAATATTCAATTAAGTATTGGCACACAGAATACAGTGATAAATTAAGAAAATAATACACCATGACCAAGTGAAATTGATTCTTGGGACCCGGTCAGCTTTTCCCTCGAAGCGCCCTCACTACCCATGATGTTATCCTTTCTCTTGGATGGTGAAAAAACTGGATGTTCAGAGCTCTGAGTGACAGCAAGGTTAAGGTGGACTCAATATTTCATCAAGAATGAAAATTAAAAAATGATTCCCAAATTACGTTTGGAATGGTTCACTCTCTAAAACTGCAAAATCTTGAGTGTTCTACAACGACTGAATAGTATAATTTCACAATGCATATGCAGACTTGAGAATTTGATGTACATATGAGCAATGTTACAGAAAGCACTGGAAAATTCCTACAGTAGTCATTTGCCTCCTATTCTGTCATGGAAATCTTCATCCCTCTTAGATACTATTCTCAGAGTCAATATTTGATGTTCTAGAAAGTTGTATCCTAGATTACTTAAATGTAAAATGACTTGTGACTGCTTAGTAGTGAGTCCTTTTTTGCTATTTTCCCTACTAAGCGTGTTCAGTTGAATTGTCTCAGTTACCGAGCACTTACCTTGTGCCACCAAATGAATTAGACTGTAGGCCAAACTCCATTTCACACCCTGATTGAATTATAGGCACACCTCGTTTTATTGTGCTTCACTTTAATGCGCTTTGTAGATACCGTGTTTTTTGCACATTGAAGGTTTGTGGCAACCCTGCATCAAGCAAGTCTAATGGTGTCTTTTTTCTAACAGGATTGGCTTGTTTCATATGTCTGTGTTGCGTTCTGGTAATTCTAACAATATCTCAGACTTTCTCATTATATTTGTTACATTGAACTGTGATCAACGATTATGTCTCACTGAAAGCTTGGGCGATGGTTACTATTCTTCAGCAAAAGGTATTTTTTATGTAAGATATGTGCGTTGTTTTTAGACATAATGTTAGTGCACACTTAAAAGACTATAGTATAGTGTAAACATACCTTTTACATGCACTGGGAAACCAAAAAATTAATTTGACTCTCTGGACTGCAATATTCATTTTATTGTGGTGGTCTTGAACCAAACCTGAAATATCTCTGAGGTATGTCTGTATTTATAAAGCTCCACTTCCCTTTGCCCTACCTTTTTGCTTAGATTTCAAAATGGCAATACATCTTATAATAATGTCATTATTATATATTATGTAATAATTTATAACATTATTATTAATACAAAAGATATCTGTGTTTAAATTCATAACTCTTTTTCTTCCCTACTGAGAGTATAACATTTGATTAAAAAGCCCAGATTCTGTGATGGGATAACTTCCAGCTGAGGAATAGAAATGCTCCTTTTTATTTATAGCAGGTCTGAAGTGAGAAATTTCTTTGAGAATTTCTTGCCAGAAAAATCTTTGTTTCCCTAAGGATTCCAGTGTACTAATTTTTTTCAATCTGATAGTGAGAGCTATGTAAATTATTGTGCTACATATTTCTCCCTCGCTTCTGAAGAAAATTGGGCTCTTATTTGATGTTTATGGCAAAAATATTAACCCATAGGGTGGGAACATTCCTTTCTATTTTTTGTCACCTTTTATTTATATCATTTTATTAAATATATATTTCAATAACATTTAATATGATATCAGTTTTTCAGTATGATATTCAAGTATAACAACAAAACTAATAAATTACATTTAAAATTAGGATATTTCACATTTGAAAGTCATGTAGAATTTGCATGGGCATGTACTTTTCAGGCATATTCATCTATACTTCTTTCATATCTTGCAGACTTTAATGCATGTGCTCTGTACTTAATGAGATCTGTGAAAGCAATATGATCTTACACTTGGAGTAGGAAGAATTGAAGTGAGATTACAGAGGGGCTAGGAGGCCATGACCATGAATGCTGCATCGATGGAATAATCTCCACATTTTCTTTAAAAACTCCAAGGTGTTGTTAATAACAGTTGTGGAAACTGAAGGTCTCTTTAGACCCAGGATCTTCTTTTATTGTTGAAGAGGAGTTGTGTTCATTCATTGTTGGTTGCTGTGCTTAGAGAACAAAAGACTCTTTGGAGCCATGGAAGCATGGAGATGTGATGCTGATGGGTGTTGCCTAGAGAAGGAATGGAGTTATCATCTCAAATTTCTAGTCGATGTCCTTGACTGTGATGGACAGAGAGAGCCGGGATGCCAGGAAGTGGAATTTTTTCCTCATGCAAGGGAGTTTAGAGAATGAGGCTCTTCTGCTTTGAAATATTAAGTATGAAAGAGAGACAGAATTCTTGGCAGCATTTACTGGGCGTGGATGTAT